TTCTAAGTTTTTATTGGATAGTTGAACAGAACTGGTTGCAATCTCACTGTTTGAATTCCCACTCTATCTGCTCCACTTTAGTATCTTGAATAACTATTTGTAAAACGACAATATGTAAATATCAACCAGTGATTTATTTTTTTCTTTGAAATTATGTATTATTTCTACCCATTTTCTGTTTTGTTTAGTCCTTCTTTAAATTAAATTTTTAAAAAAAGACACTACAGTATCCAGTGCTGATCACGGAGTGTCATGTGAAATCTAGCAATACTATTATTCTTTGTTCAGAATGATTTAACCTGCTTTAGTTGGTTTAATCTAAACATAAATAAAGATATGGATAACTGCATGTATGTTTAAGTGTATAGGATTGAAAACCATGTTACTAAGTTTTTGTTGGACAGTTGAACAGAACTGTTTGCAGTCTCGCTGTTTGAATTCCCACTTTACATGTTCCATTTTTGTATTTTGAACAACTATTTGTAAAACTATGTAAACATCAACTAGTGATTTAACTGTTTTTTTTCTCTGAACGTATGTATTATTTCTACCTATTTTCTGTTTTTTAGTCTTTCTTTAAATAAAATTTAAAAAAACAAAAAAAACCCTTTTGTCACAAATATTTTTCAGGTCTACAATACTGCACATCAAATTTAAAAACTGGATCAATAACCAGGTACAGTGGGACTCACCTGTAATCCCAGCACTTAGTGAGGCTGAAGCTGGGGAATTCCAAGTTCTAATCCTGCCTGGTCAATTTAGTAAGACCCTATCTGCAGAACAGAGGGGGACAGGGACTGGAGGTGTAACTGAGTGGTAGAGTGCTTTTGGGTCCAACCTCCAATTCCACTAAATAAATAAATAAAGGAATGAAGTCCGGCAAAGTGTGCACTCCTGTAATCCTGCCACTCTGAGAAGCTGAGGCAGGATGGTCATCAATCTGAGGCCGGCTTGGATGACTTGGTAACTTAGCAAGATCCAGTCTCAAAAAAGGGTTGGAGATACACAATTTAGTGCAATGGCCCTGGCTTCAACCCCTAGTTCTGAAAAAACAGAACAAGACAAAACAACCACGATCTGTGGTTACGCTTATATAAAATTCTAGAATATGAAAACAGATCTATAGTAACAGAAAGCAGATCAGTATTTTTTTTTATTTTTTAAGCAGATCGATTTTAATGATTGCTTAAGGACAAGAGCAGAAGGATGTAAGGAAGTTTTGGGAAGGGGCAAGTGGGAGGACAAATTCAGCTACCCTGTTTGTGATGATCTCACAGATATATGTTATCATACGCTTTAAATATGTGAGGTTTGTACCAACTTTAATAAACTTTTAAAGACAGGTTCATTTTCTTGCAATTAGAAAGTTTTACTATTACATGTCTAGATATTCTTCAACAGCATACTGAAGAATTTATGTAAGGAATTGGATAATGTAATAGAAGGAAAAGTTACCTTTTTGTTGGGAAACTTCCAATTTGGATCAAATTTTTTTCTTGTTATTTTGCAAAAACAAAAACAAAAACAAAAAAAAAAACCACCAGTTCTACTTTTTTTTTTTTTTTGAGACAGGGTCTCATTATACAGTTCAGCCTGGGCTTGAACTCCCAGCAATCTGCCTGCCTCAACCTCAGCCTCCGGAGTGCTGGGACTACAGGTGTGCACCACCATGCCCAGCTAGTTTTAGTTTTCTTAAAAAATTTTTTCCTCTAGAAAATAGCCAGACATGGTGATGCACACCTGTAATCCTAGCACTCAGGAAGGGTGGGTCAGAAGGATCATCCTCAGAATCTACACCCAACCTGGGCAATGTAGCTACTCAGTGAGACTACCTCAAAATAAAGTGCTGGGCATGTCGCTCAGTGTGAAGGCCTTGGGTTCAAACTCCACCCCATCCACAACTGAAGTGCCTGTGTATTTTACCTCCTTTTAGAAATATTTTGGTATGGCAAAGGAGTGAATGTTGGATCCATTTTTTTAAACAAAAAAAAAATTGTCTCATTGAATGACTTGTTAGTAGTGAATTATCAATGTTTTTCAAGACAATAAAGTGTGAGTTTTGTGCAGCTTAACTAGACAGTAGTGGACCTCTGTACTAGCTGCCTCAGATTTTCATTATTTTTGCATCTCAAAACCAAATTCAGCAAATACCTTAAATGCAAATGAATGATCTGTGTGACACTATTTTTAAGTTTCCTGCTTCCCAGTCACATCTGAATAAAATACGTAACAGAGGAGTACACTTTTTTTTGAGTCAAGGTCTCATAAATTGCCCTGGCTGGGTTTGAACTCGGTATCTTCCTGCCTCAGCCTTCTAGAGTGTAAAGACTACAGGTATGCACCACTGCACCCAGTTAGAGGAGTCAAACTTTTAGTTTTTATACAATATGCTCATATGACAACAAACTAAAAAGAAAACATTCTATTTTCTTTTATGCCTTGATACATTTCAAGTTTAAAGAGAATATTTACTGTTTCATTGAATTTTATGCCAAGTGTAGTGGTGAATGCCTGTAATCCCAAAACGTGGGAGACTGAGGCAGAAGGACGAAGGACTGCCCTGAGTTCAAGGCCAGTTTGGGCTACATGGTGAGTTTAAGGTCAGCCTCAACTAGAGTGAGACCTTCTTTTTCTTTTTACTCAAAAAAAAAAAAATTACAGAGACCTGAGAAAACTGTCAAAAAGAATTGGGACATTGAAGTGAAGGTTATGAAACCTCACCTCAACCAGGTGTGGTGGCACACACCGGTAATTCCAGAATCAGGAGGCTGTGAGGCAGGAGGATCATCATGAGTTTGAGGCCAGCCTGGGCTACATAGTGAGTTCAAGGCCAGTCATAACTCCAGAACGAGACCCTGTCTCAAAGGTCTACGCCCCAAAAATCTGACTTTTAAGCAAGCAAGCAAGCAAGCAAGCAAGCTAGCTAGCTCACCTTAGGTGATACAAGCCACATAGCCAAATAGGATGGAATTATAAATACCACAGTAGAATGCAGGGGTACCGAGCACACTACACCATCTCAAGGCTACCTCCAGAATGTTCTAAAATTGGAAGGACTTCCAGAAGCAAGTGGAAAGCCTTGGAAAGGCTCCGGAGGAAAGAGGACAATTCTAGGAGAGGAAATTCTTGGAGAACAGGATAGTACATAACAGGGAAGGCTCAGCAAGGCTGAGGAACTCATCACTTTCTCCTGCAAATCAGAACATGTGTATAGTTTTCTCCAGTAACACTGAGAAGCTCCAGAATCAGAGGAATTGAAGTGTCTGGACAGAAAAAAGAGAAGCAAAGACATACAAGAAAGGCATGGGAGTGGGCAAACTGGATGCAAGACAGCTGCTTCCAGGGTGGCATTTGCTGATGAAAAGAAAAAGATTGATTTTTGCAAAGAAAATAATCTATAATCTCTGTTAAAAAAACTTTTTTTAAGCTTCCCACCCTGGTGTGGTGACAGAAGCCTGTAAACCCACTTACTTGGGAGGCTGAGGCAGAAAGGCTGAAAATTCAAGGCAACTTAGAGATCCTACCTCTAAATAAAAAACGGATGTAGCTCAGCATTATAGCACGTTCCTAGCACACATGAGGCCTGGGTTATAGCCCCAGCTCTGCAAACACAACTGTCCTCATGTCTGTATGTCCCCTTTCAGTGGTATAAACAAGAAAGGAGTCACACTATTTGTTTCAGGCACCATGCTGGTACCTTTTCCAGTTTCAACTGGCACCTCTCGAGGGGTTTTTTAAGCTTATATTTACCATTTCTCAGCACCGCTATGTGTAAACCACTTCCCCTCCTTTGCATTCATTCTCATAGACTCCTAGCCATGATCAACACTTCTTGAACTGCTATTTTTGTCTACTTTTGGGTGAGACATTCATGTCCTTTGCCAAGGTTTCATTAACGAGAATGAAAAGCCAATGAAAGAATTCTGCACCCATCCTCTTTCCATCCATTTTACCTCAAGCTTATTTTATTTTATTTGGTACCAGGGATCAAAGTCACAACCTCACACTTGCCAGGCAGGCGCTTACTCATCCTTATTTTAACCTATTTTTGGTGGGGTACAGGAATCTAACTTAGGATCTGGCAATTGCCAGGCAGGCACTTGCATACTTCAAGCTTAACGTGTTTTCATGCCACCTGACTTTCCTGTCCCCATCTCTTTATCAGTCTACTGCCATGCTCTACCCTCCATGTCCCCATAGTTCAGTCAAAAACCCAGGGTCAGAACCACTGGTCAAAGCTGAGTTCTTGCACCCGCTCTGCTTTTCTTTACTTCTACAGAGTTGAGCACAGCCTCTCCGTCACAACTCCTGGCCTGCCTCCTCCTTGGATTCCTCCCTCTTTAGTCCACCTGCGTTCCCTGACCAAAGAATTGGTCTTTTGCCTTTGTTCCCACTGCACATTGTTCAAGTAAATAATGGGTCTCTAGTCAGTGTCCCATTTGGATTTGGGAGCTTCTGGTTTAGTTCCAATCACTTATTCAATGTCTCTGTGTGCCAAGAATTATGCAAAATAGGGTATGTGTCTTTTTTCTTTTTTTGAAAGAGGATTTTACTGTGTAGTTCAGGCTAATCTTGAACTCATAGCAATGCCCCTGCCTCAGCCTCCTGAGTGCAGAGATTTCAAGTTAAGTGCTACCACACCTGGCTTAAGTATCTTCCTCCAGGGAGAGATGACTACTGAAAATACACATCATTCTATGTGACTGGGAGGTACAGATAAGAATTAGCCAGATCCAAAATTCCATAAAAAATACTGACAATTCCAACTCAGCCCTTGATTTTTCCCAGTTGCAGAGAGGTCTTGACAACAGGGAGCCCACCTAGGATCTCATTTAAGTATACTCATGTTGCTCAAGGTGGAAGTGAATGTTAGAAGAGCACACACAATGATTTCTAAATAGTGTGGAGCCAAAACCCCCATCAAAATTGGAGAAAGTCCAGAGGCAACCACCCCAACTTTCAAGATCATCGCTTAGAAGACCCAGTCTCTTACACAGGAATTAGTCTGTCCTTCCATGCCTTTATTGGTATCAGCAATGGACAAGAATAGTGCCAGGCAGACACCCTGGCCCAGTACCTGTGTGCCAGCTAGGCCTGCAGGACCACTGGCACATCCAACTCCAGCCCCAAATCCCATCTAGCCTGGCCATGTTCCTGAATGGGTATGTCCCCGCCTGTCCAGTTTGTATGTGTGGATCAATCTGTCTGAGTGCCTGAGTCGCTGCCTGCTGGGCACCCCCAACCTTGGCACATGGTAGGGGCTATTGAGAACACAGCGTGGCATCCCCCGGTGGACCACTGGGCCCCGGTGCTGACCGTGGGAGACAGAGCCAGGAACTGGAGGTGGCAGGGGGCTAGGTGCAAAGTTCACTCCAGGGCCACACCCTACAAGAGAAGCAGTCATTACTGAGTGGGCTTCTGAGCAGGGTGAGTGCAACTCTGCTCCTGCAGGGTATCCCTGGGCTTAGGGTTCCCTGTCTGCACAATGGGAGCCCCACCTCCCCTGCCTCCTGACTGGGGACCTGTGACAGTCAGTGAGCTGAGTCCCAGAAGCTGTTCCAAAGTTAATCCAAGAAGAATGACATTCACCCAGCTCCTCTCAGCACACCTCAGCTGAGAGGCTGGGCTCAGGAGGAATGGGCAAAGGCTGGGAAGGGTGTAAGAGAAGACTGCAGAAGCACATACCTAAATTGAGAGGCATCGAGAAGTCTTCCATTGGATTATAACTGAAGAATTCCTGGGGTGGGAAGGGCTGGCCTGGGTAGAAAGGGGCATCCTGGGGCAAGGGTGGGAACAAGGGAGGTGGTGAAGGCTGTGGAAGAGGGTAGGAAAAAGACATAGGAGGGGGTAAAGGAGGGGGTGGGGGTGGGGGCAAGGCCAGTTGCTCCCCGAAGTCTGGGGGCTGCCTATGGCTTCCCTGGAACTGATGATCCATCTCTGGCCAGTCCTCAATCCATGGGTCTAGGAACGGGATGATTGTTTTAGGTAGGCCTAGGTACCAGGTGCCATGAATGCCAGTGAAGCACACTTCCAGAGCTCTACTCCATCCTCTTGGAGAGTAGAGCCACTAGGCCACAGCACACTGGGCCTTCTTCCCACTTCTCAGGCCCTCTCATTTGAGGCCAAGCCCAAAGTGTGTTCCTTCCTTCTTTCCTCTCACATCTACCTTTGTTCTGACCTCATGCTCCCCTCCTGAGTCTATTCTCTTTGTTTACTTCCTGTATCTTTAGCTTTCCTCTCCCCAACTCCTCCCTCTAGGCAAATATAAAGACCCCCACCCTCCCTTCTACTAGTTCCCTTTATCCCAAACTTCTAGAAGGATGTTTGCCCCATCCATCTCCATCCCTTAGCAAGCACTCACTGCATGTTCTGACTCCACTCCACGCCTTCAATCTTCAATGCTTTTCCTGCTATACATAACCACTCACTGACAAATTTAACAATGCCCTTTCCTCCCCATGGTCATGTGACATTACCAATAGCCTTGGTCCTCCCTGAAAGTGCCTCTACCTTCATCTTCTTTTGTTTTCCGCCATCAGCCCCTCTTCCCTGCCAATCCAAAGCGTGAGCATTATTCTGCTTTCTCCTTCACAGTTCACACTCATGCCCTCCACTTCCAACTCTACAGGGAATGGCTGACTCCAGATCTACTATTTCCATGGTAGCTCAAACACATCCTCCCTAACCAAATTCACCCATGCAAGCTCCCACCCAAATCGACTCTTTCTCATGTTCTTAAATTTCCATAGCACCAAATTGGACTCAGAGACTTGAGCCACCATAAACTAGCTTCACATCCTTTCCTTTGTGGGGAATCCATTGTTTCAATTAAAAAAGAAAATGGAACCACGCTTTCTAGTGCTACAACAACTACTAAAATGACTCACGCCTCCGATTCAACAAATACTATCCAGCTGGCAGTATATGTACAGTGACTGTGCTACACACAGGTCTGAAAGGGGTGAATTGTGGAAAAATGAGGCAGGACCCTTGTCCTTTGGGGACAGGCAGATATAAAAATAACCTGCCACAATGCCCGCTTTGTGAGAGGCGAGGACTGAGAGTTTAACAAGGAAATGAATACTCTACAGCAGAGGTGTGAAGAGCAGTGCCCCCAGAGAACTGGGACCCAGAAGTCTCCACCAGTGACCAGAGAGGGGCCTAGCTGAGGTGCACTAAGCTGCAGTCACAAGCACTGGGACATTCAGGCTGAACTGAGGAGCCCAGGGAAAGTTGTCACTGGGCCCCGCTCTATGAGACTGACCTTTTGGACCCTACATTAAGGTTACATTATGTCCCTGCTCAACAACCTTCTGGTTGACTGTGCACTCCTTAGTCCCCTAGCTGATGAGTTCCCTGTCTCTCCATACTGTCCAGAACTCCTTCTCTCCATTTCTGTCCCCATACTTGTGCCTACCTAGGAGTACCCCATTTTCTGTTCATCCATTGGTTAGGTCTTTTGACACTTTCCTTCTGCAATCAATACTTATGTTAAACTCACTCATGTACAAAAAAGGCTAGACTGTGAAGACCTGGAACTTGGACTACACTTTTACTCCTGTGACCTAACTCTCCCTAGGAACTGAGGAAAAAGAACTCAAAAGCCCCAACAGTCCTTCAAGGGACCCCTAGCCTTCATGAGCACCTCTGTTGGGTTCTGTTCCTAAGTCCTGTGCTCTGAGGGCCCTCTGCATCACTTCCCGCCCCCTCTGTGGTAGGGCTCACCAGGGGGATGGTCCCGCTTAGGCAGCTCCACACCCCAGGCATCGGCCACATGGGTCAGAAGCAAGTGTGAGAGGTGACGGTGTGCATGTTGGTCCCAGTGGACACCATCTCGATGACGGTGCTGTACTGCATGCCGGAAATGAAAGTGAAGATCCAAAACATCGAAGTAGTGGTCACCAGCCAGGGTAGCACTGTAGAAGTTCCCCTCAACCACATCCCGTCGCAATGTGGCTGCGAGGGGCTGGAGCTGAGTAGAAAAATGCAGCTTCTAAGAGGATCCTCTACCTACCAGCCAGCTGTCCCATCCCCTGTCCAAGGGGACCTGTCACTTGCCTCTGGCAGTAGGAAACCCCCAGTGACACGCTCCCCCAGGGGCATTGCCATGTTCCACACCAGCAGACAGGAGTCTGGCAACACCTGGTCCATGCGTACGAACACTCGTTCCAAGTTCTCTCGGTAGCTCTCCATTGAGCAGCGGCCATACCTATTGGGTAACACATACAGTGGATAGGAGCACCAGGGTAGAGCCATACCTCTACTTCTAATCAGAATTTCCCTCTCTCCCACGCTAACCTGGAGAGATCCCAAAGGCAAGAGTTGATGATCACCAGGTCCGGGGCAGGCCCATATGTCAGCTCCTCCAGGACATCCTCCAGGTACTCGGAGTAAACTCGGGTGAGGAAGTAGAAGCGTACAAGGTGATGGCCAGAACCCGAGCAGAACTGGCGGACTTCACGATACTGTGTCCCGTTGTGCAGCTCACCCAGCTGGCCCCCAGCCACCAGCTGGTCCTGTTCAAAGCTCAGCTCCCCCTGCCCACCCCCCGACCCCGCTGGTCAGACCCATGCCAGGGTGGTGGACCCTGCCAGGCCAGGGGCTGTACCCATCCACCACTTGCATGGCTGCCAAGCTTCCCTCACCTTGGCTTTCAACTGGGCAACTGTGAGCAGTGAGTCTTTCTGAAGCAGAAGCACCAGGTCCTTATATACAGCTCTCTGGACTGTAAGAAGACAGAGATCCCAAGTTTGAAACAAATCTTATCCCATCCCATCTTCCAGTCCAAGTCTCCCATCTTTCTGAGGGCTGGGCTGACAAACACCAGCTTGGTGTGTTGCCTCAAAAAGGGAGATAGGTGAAGTTAAAAAACGTTGGCACTACCCATTCCTTGTGTCTCTGTCAACTTAGTATACAGTGACCAAAATCACCTGGCAGAATTAAGTTGGCCAAATCATCCAGAAATCACACAACACAATCCACAGCTTTTAGGGAAATTATGGGGATTGTGAAAGAAGAAAAAGAAGCTACGCAAGGTTAGGCTAAAAAGTACAAGGGCTGCATCAGTCAGCACACCTGTGGAAGATGTACAGAATAAGAAGAAGGGAAAATCTACTGGACTGGAACAGACTAAGGACCTCAGGATCTCAGATGGACACAAAAGGTGCAGACAGAGTACGCTGCAGAAGCAAAACTGGACGTGTCATCCTAGAAGGGGCACTCACTGGAGTCCCCCAAGATGACCACGAACTTGTTGTGTAGCAGCTGCTGGACTTCTGAGGCTTGGATGTGGACCATGGCGCTTCGCAGCGGGCGGCACGGAATCTCGTTTTCCAGACAGAAGACCATGTTGCTGCTGACACCAACGGGCTGCAAGGAGAAGCCACTAAACAGCTCGAGGGCGGGGACACAGGGCAGGTCGGCCCTGGGGCCCGCCCTAGGGTAGATGAGACCTGCGCAAGTCCCTCCCGAGATGCTCGGAGCTGCAGGGACATGGTAGCAGTGGCAGGAGGAAGCCCATAGCAGCGTCGGCCTTGGTCACACTCCACACCTGAGGCCGGGGTATTGCCTGGCTAGCAGGCCTGCAGGGAACCGTGACGTTTCCCGCGCGGCACAACCCAGCGCCCCGCCATGTGCCCGCTGCTACCCCGCGCATGCGCGCGCGCGCGCGCCCGCTCGCGCCAATTACCGGGTCCCGGGGCTCTGCACCGTTCACGGGCGAACAGGCTGGGGCCGCTCACTATGAGCCTCGCCCCTAGCGGGGTCCCGGTTAAGCTTCATGTTCCCGCACCCTGCGAGGCCAGTTGGTTCAGCAGAGCCCCCGCCCCGCAGAACCCATGCGCCTCGGCTCGCCGTCCGTGCGCAGCCCGACGCCCACTGCTCTCCATGCGTGCGTCGCAGTGGCCCCGACAGCGCCTCGGGCCTCGGCCCCCAAAGCGACAACGCTCACAGTTTCCACTTCCGGTCACCCATATCCCTCCCTTTGCAACCCCCAACGCCGGAAAATACAAGAAAGGTTGGCCGCCGCATCGGGCAGCGTCTGGGACTGGGCCCACCCCAGCAGGCAAAGGTCGGTGCGAGTAGGGGTACTACAGGGGCCAAGGGCAGCTGCCCACAATGGTGATGGCCGCTAGGGCGGCCTCGCCACGTGACCCGGACGGGCGGAAGCGGAAGTGCCGGCCTGAAGGCCGCAGTATACAGAACTAACTTCAAAGCTAACCTGCTGCTGCCTGCACCAGCCATGGATTGCTACACAGCGAACTGGAACCCGCTCGGAGATTCTGCCTTTTACCGGTGAGCCGCCCCGCCCGCGGTCCGGCTTACCCCGCTTGTTCGCCCGCTCGTCTCTCGGCGAAGCCGGTGGCGCTAGTCCCAGTCTCTAGGGTTGCGGGGGTCCACCCTGCGCCAGTTCTCCCCAAGCGCTTGCTACTTAACGTTCAGCTGCCTGTGATCTAAGAGCGGGGCCTTTCCCCGCACAAGAGTAGGAAACTGAGGCAAATGCGATGGTCACCCCGAAGCTCAGGTCTGTCAGCCTCTGGAAGGATGCTCAGATCACGTTGAGGGAGGCCACTGCGGTGACAGCGAGTGCCCAGTCTTCTGCCGGAAAGTGCTGCCGAAGTCAGACCACAGAGGCGCTTGGAGGTGGGGCGGGATCGCGCCACGAACCGGGTGACTGTGCTGACCAAGGGTGGGAAAGGGGGCAAGTTGTCAGTGAATGCTGGAGAAGTTTGAGTGAGGACCCTTGGTGAGAGAGGACAGCCCTCTGATGGGAGTTGCAGAGGACGAAGCCACGGATCTTCGGAAGTATAAACGAATCTCATTACCCTCATTGGGATTTTTTTTTTTATGGCTTCTCTTCTTTATAAAGTACTCACTTGTGAGGTCAGCCTCTCATTGACCTCCAACCTCATCTGCCTCTCTCTTACCCAAAGTTTGTGTTCTGTGTAGCGCAGAATTACAGGGACCCAACATTCCGTGGTATTTCATGGCTTTCTATGTTTGTCCTAGCCTGCAGTTCCTTGTTCATCTCAAAAAAAAAAAATTTTTTTTCCCCATCCTTACGGACCTGGTTCAAGGTTTTTCTCAACTTTGTCACGTCCTCCCCTAGGTAGTATCCTTTGGGCCTTACGTGGCCAAGTGCTAAGATCTGTGATGTGTAGCACAGTATGTCAATATATGGGTTTCTTCTGCTAAACCAGGCTTCTTGAGGGCAGAGAACATGTTTTTTGCACTTATTTATCTCCTGTGCATATTTACAGTAGTGCCTCTGTTGATCAAGGCATTTTAAAAAGAATATCATTGATTGTTAACTAATGATCATAAATATATTGCACTGGAGCTTATTTCATAGATGACATTGTTCTTACATATTCAAACTTTTGTGGTCCTGGGGGTTGAACCAGGGCTTCCCACTTGCTAGACAGACACATTACCACTGAGCCACATTTCCAGCCCTTTATTTTTTTAGCTACTGTTTTGAGACAAGGTCTTCCTAAATTGCCCTCACTGGCTTCCAATTTAGGATCCTCCTGCCTCAGCCTCTAAAGTAGTTTGGATTACAAATATACTCTACAACACTAGATGAAATGTAATTTTTGATTCACAATGTAATATCTAGCACAATAATGGTGAACCTATTGCACACATGCCTTAATGAGGTGTTTGTATTATTGAAAGCTCTAGGTTTGCCATCACTGATCTAATGTTTGTATACCAGCTATCTGACATAGCATTCACTTCCTAAAATATTACCTTGCGTTACTTCTGAAAATATACGTTGCTTATCCAGACTTACTAAACCATGGTACTGAAGACCACATTGCCATAGAGCTCCTGTTTAGCATTATGGATATGTCTATAATTTTTTATTTGTTTTGTTTTGTTTTTGAGACAGGGTCTTATTATGCAGTTAAGGCTGGCATTAAACTCATTTTGTAGTCCAGGCTGGTTTTGAACTTGGAACAGTTCTCCTGCCTCAACCTCCCAAGTTCTGGGATTACAGGCATGTGCCACTACCTCCAGCTATGTCTATAGTTTTGAAGGAATGTAAGTGTTGAATGCATGCCACAGACTGGGAGCTAAATGGCCAGCCTACTTTATCTGTGCTGTAAAGCCAAAAAGGATTTGTGGTCTAAACCTTGATGGAGAATATTCATGTTCTGAGGTACTAACAGATATTGAGACTTACTTATTTTGTAGACACTATGCTAAGTGCTTTGCTTATGCCTCATATCCCAGAAAGTGGGTATCATGTTTATTGTTACTGAAAAAGAGGTAAGGCCTACAGAGAGGCCAGTTAACACAGCCAGTACGTAGTGGTGGAACTAGGATTTGAATCCAGTTTAAAATTGTGTTGAATTCTGTGCTATTTTCAACATTGGATTAAAAAAGTGATAATAATTGTTAAAAGAACAAAACAAAAATAAAAATGCCTGTCATCTCAGCACGCTAGAGGCCAAAGCAAAGGATTGCTTTGAGTTCAAGACAAGACTCTGTCTCAAAAAACAAATAAACAAGCAAACCAGCCAACCAACTACCAACAGGAAAATACCAAGAGCACATTCTTACTTCTCCACCAGAATGAAAATGCTTTAAGGGAAGAAGTTTGATTTTGTTCATATCTGTATATAGCTAGGACAATCTGTGTTCTAGTAAGTAGATAAATAATAAACAGGTGGGAAATATTGCATTTCAAGTCATATATGCAGGACAGGATTGTTTTTCTCTTCAGCAAATATTTTTTAAGTACTTACTGTGTACAACAGTACAAGAATTACTCCTACAATAAGACAGTTGCCTGCTTATTTACCACTGGCAGTTAATCGAAAGGTTAATTGTAGTTCAACAGCTTATGGTTTAAAATTAAGGTCAGCTAACCTAAACCATGTTTAGGGTGAAAAGCAATTTATTTATTTATATAGAGCCTTGAAAAAAGAAAGGTTAATAAACATTTAACTAACTGGGTCAGTACAGCCTTCCATATGCCAGGTTTTTTATCGGTTTAAACAAAATTAGATTTTTTTTATATTAAGTAAAACATTTCTCTGTTACTTTAATTATTTAATTACAAAGTTTATAAATTCTACTAGTATTTACATTTTAATTTCTTCTAGAGAATGACAAATGAATCTTTTTTTAAAAGGCAATTGACAGGTCTCACATATCTAGGTTAATTTTTACCTCTATACTGAAATAACCTATGTCCACATAGTCACACAAAAAGAGATAGCATGTACAATTAAGTGATCTCTCAACTTCAAAGAGCTTCATCAAATCAAAGAATTGTCCGCAGGGATTTAGGTCAGCAGTATAAGTGCTTATCTGGCAAGCACACGGTTGTGACTTCAATTCCTGGAACCAAAAAAAAAAAAAAAAAAATTGTCTATGAATGTCACCGCACACTGTGACTAGCACACTCACTTCTATTAAAGATTTATTTATGTATTTATTTATTTTGCATTGAAGGTTGTCTTCTGGACAACTCACTAAATTTGAGAAATCAGGGAAAAATGGCAGCTGTTCTTACGCAACTCCAAAAGTTGTTTTTGTCATAAAAATGCAACTTGACCTAATCTTATTAGTTAATTTGGCCCAACCCTTTGCCAGACTATATGTGTGTTGAATGATAAAACAGATGTGGACTCTTTCCTCGTAAGTCTTACAGCTAGCAAGTGAAACAGTGGATACCCACTCACTCACATTTTTATTATGAAAGATAAACAATATGCAGCTGGTCATGGTGGTACATGCCTGTATTCCCAGCACTCGGGAGGCTGAGGCGGGAGGATTATTGCAAGTTGAGACCAACCTGGATTACACAGCAAGCTGAAAGCCGGCCTGAACTACTTAACAAGACCCTGTCTCAGAAAGGGGAAAAAAAAAAGGATAATCGCTCTGAGGTGTAGGAATATGTAATAAAGGAGAGCGTATGTATAACAGACTGTAGGAGGTGTCAAGATAAAGACTTCCTGAAAGAAATGATAATGGCAATCAAGGGGACAAGTAGATTTAGGTGCAAGGAGTGAGATACAGCAGAGAATATATGGGTGGGACCAGGACATGAGATAAGACAGCTGTCCTTGACTTAAGGGTTGTACCCTGTAGAGACTCAGACCACCTTTATTTGAGAAACAATTGGAATCATAAATCAGTGAGTCCTAATGGAAAGGACTGATATGATTTGATTTATAGTATGCTAGTATGCTTCCTTCTGGTGCTAATAGGGGGAACAAGTTGGAATGGGAAAGCAAGAAAGAGTGGTTAGGAGTCTGCTAGAATGAACCAGGGAGAAGCTGTGGGTGATAGCATCACTGAGTAGTGATGGTGGTGGAAGAGGCCAAAGAGATTAGCAGGTCAAACAAAAGGAGATTGTAATGATTGCACGTGAGGCATCAGGGATGATTTAGGTTTTTTGTTTCAAAATCATGAGAAAGGAAGAGTTTGGCAGGTAAGAGGGTGAGCTTGGTTTTTAACACTGTGTTTCAGGCACTTTAAAAATATCTTTATGGTAAAAGAAAGGAGACCAAAGATATAGTTATATGCCTCTCAAATTCTTAGAAGGGAGGGAGACTGTTTTAGTGTTCTAGGTGTATTTATGTTTTGTTTTGCTTTTTTGCATGTATAAGCATGAACGTTTTTTGAAATAGTGGTTAAGTAATATAAAGTGTACATCTTAACCAATTCAAGTGTACAGTTCTGTAGGGTTAAGTACATTCATGTTGTTGTGCAGCCAGTTTTTAAAGTTTTTTTAATCTTGCAAAACAGAAATTGTGTACCCATTAACTACTGTCTCCCAAGGCCACCAGCAACTAGCATTTTGTTTTCCATCTCTATGTGTTTCACTATTCTAGGTACCTAATATAAGTAGAATTGTATAACATTTGTCTTTGTGATTAGCTTTTCCAACCTGCAAAGTGTCAAGGTTCATTCAGTCTATAGCGTGTATCATGATTTTCTTCTCTTTCCTCATCTCTTTTCTGCTGGGACTCAAACTCAAGGCTTTGTGCATACTGGTTAAGTATCTAGCACTAAGGTACATCCCCATCTCAATTTTTTCCTTGGAAAGGGTGAGTACCATTCCATTATTTTTATATACCACATTTGGCTTATCCATTCATCTCTCCACAGACACTTGAATTGCTGTCCCTTTGGCCATTGACAGTAACACCATGGACACGAGTGTACAGACTTCTCTTTAACAGGGATGGAGATGTAGCTCAGTGGAAGAATGCTTGCCTAAGTATGTAAGGCCCTGAGTTCATTCCCTAACACCAACAAAAACAAGCGCACAAATATGCCTTTACTTACTTACTTACTTATTTTTGGTTTTTTGAGACAGTCTCACTTGTAGTTCAAGTTGTCCTTGAACTTACTATATAGCCCAAGCTGACCCTGAATTTATAGCAGTCCTGCTTTAACCTGAGTGCTGGGATTACAGGGATGAGCCACCACACCAGCATACAAATATATCTTTACAGCTCTGCTTCTGCTTTCAATTCTTTTAAGTATATACACTTAAGTGAAAGTATCAAGTTGTAGAGTAGTTCTGTTTCAGTTTTTGAAGAGCAATGTCTGGTTGCTGAGACAAAATATTTGACACTCAAAATTAAAGGGGGAGAGGTCTGTTTAACTCACAGTTTGTA